TCTCGCTGTGTCTCTCTCTGTCAAATAAATAAATAAAATCTTTAAAAAAATAAATAAAAAACAAGTTCTTTTTTCACAGTTCTATAGACAATTGGTACAGTAAATGTGGATTTCATTTGTCTATACCATTGTCTCTAGGCAGAGAGAATAGAGGGAGACTGAAACTTAGAACAGTTGTAGTATCCGGTTAGTGTTTCGGGTAAGGATGGTGGGAAAGTACAGTTGACCCTTGAACAACACAGGTATGAACTGTGTGGGTCCACTTATACACAGATTTTTTTACAGTACGGTACTATAAATGTATTATCTTTATGGTTTTCTTAGTAGTTAAGTTTTGGGAGAGGCAGAAGTTACATGTGGATTTTTGGCTGCGCCACGGTATCAGCACCTCTAACCCCCACGTCGTTCAGATGTCAACTCAGTGAAACTGATAGCAAATAAAGTTGTATGTGTCTGTCTGGATACAGCATAATCTAAGTATAAGTATGTATGAATTGTGTGAAGAGCAGTAACCAAGAGTTATAAAAATGTAATAATGTATAAAATTTTTTAAAATTAGCGTAATACTCCATTTTGATATTATTTCCTGACTTGATTTTTTTAATGGTACAATAAATGAAATTTCGTATGAGCTTTTATAAGGACTGCAAAGAAATCTGATATTATTGTGAGACAGAAGCCAAGAGGGCCAGTCCCATTTATTTTAGACCCTGAAGATTGTTAAAAGGTATGTGTAAAAGTGTGTGTACGTGTGCACACACATGCTTGTATGGTGGGTTCCAAATCCATTCCTAGCATTGCTCGGAGTGATCACACAGTTTTCGCCATGAGCCTCTGCTATCGTTTCATTTCATTCAGTGCCTTTGCATAGTCCAGATGCATCCCTGCCTTTATGTAACAGGAGAACCTCTCACTCCGTTCCTCCTCCTAGCAGATCAAGCGTCGTCCTTCACCTGTCTATAGCATCCCCAGGTTATTTTGCAGGCATACCCTGGAATGCCATGAAACCCCTTTCGTTCAGGGGTTTGGTTTTTCTATAAAAAACTACCCAGAGCGATCATACTGGTTTTGATCTTTTGAGTGTTTTGTTATTAACTGATGGCTCTAAGCCACATGGTGAGAAGATTAAACTGAGTTACTATGAAGAATGAGGAGGAGAAAAAGTCAAGGGTACCAAATTCTGGTGGGTTCTCGCTTCTTAGGAGGTTATATGGTATATTAAAGAACTGGTGGTATATTTCTTTTGACAGCATTATATAGCCCTTGTGGGCTATATAAGTATCACAGATGATAGTTCATAGGGTTGTTTGCCTGCTTGCTGTTACCTTGTTAAAATGTATTCTGGATTTTAACAGGCATAGTGAAATACGATGATAATAAATATTGCCCAAAGCTCATGTAGGTTTTAAGTAATACAAGTTTTACATTTAAATTTATTCTCCTGTTGTATCAGGGTCCCCAAGACCCCCGGCTTTGATGATCCCTAGGAGGCCTGGCAGGACTTAGCATTTAGTTATGTTCACAGCTGTGATTTATTACAGCAGAAGTATACAAAACAAAATCAGCAACAGAAGACGGGACATCGGGCAAAGTCAGGAGGAGTCTTGGCACAGGCTTCTAGGTGTTCTGTCCCAGGGAATCACAAAAGCTATACTTAACTCCCCCAGGAACCAGTTGTGACAACACAGGTGAAATGTTGTCAACCAGCGAAGCTCATTAGACACTCAATACCCAGGGTTTTCATTAGGGGTTGGTCACATAGGCACCTCTAGGAATTTTGGCACGTTCCAAATTTCAGATTCCCAGAAGGGAAGCAGATATTCAGCATAAGCCAAATTCTTTCGTTTTATGAGCTCTGGGGATGGTGGGAACCTTCCCAAAGTCCCAAGTTCCCAGATGCCAGCAAGGACCCACCCTTGAAGCAGGCCTTTCTAAGCACAAGTAGCCTCAGGCCTACTGTGTTTATTCTTGTCTGCATACTTATAAATTGGATTAATAGTCCTGGAATCCTGTAAAGGATATATTGAGGAAGCACCTTTATTTATTATTCTGACAAAGTTCCGGGAACTGTTAGAAAGTTGGATTCTAACTGCTGTATGTGAAAGAACTGATATGTCAGTTTCTAGAGCATTATTTCTATTTATATCAAAAACCAGTTCCCCAGCACTGTATTGTTACAGTTATTAAGCAATTCATATGTGCTGTGGAGGAGGAAAAACTTGAAATGGTTGGAAGCACTTGGAAAAGTTGGAAGAACTTGGAATGGTCAAGTGAAGAAAGGAATAGCTTTGTGGTGCAAAACTCCTTCGTCTTCTGTGAGCCTGTCAGTTCTTTCCCCTTGAGACTCATTTCTTCTGACTAGGATGTCCTTTTCCCAGATAGGTACATGGCTCCCTCCTTCACCATTCCTTCAAGTCTGCTCAAATTCCACTTTTCTCATTGAGACCTCCACTGACCACATGATTTGAAATTGGAAATCTCCACCTACCCCACACGCTCATACTTGATAGTCCCTATGTCCCATCCTGCCAGTAAGGTATTTCCTCTTTACTTTCATATTAATACTACTTTGTACCCTTAATTGTTTGTCACAACAATGCAGTATCCTAAGTGATATATCATTTCCTTATAAGAATAAAAAACTGGGGGCACCTGGGTGGCTCATTCGTTAAGCATCTGCCTTCAGCTCAGGTCATGATCCCAGGGTCCTGGGATCGAGCCCCACATCAGGCTCCCTGCTCCGCGGGGAGCCTGCTTCTCTACCTGACCCTCCCCCATCTCATGTGCGTGCTCTCTCTCTCTCAAATAAATAAAATTAAAAAAAAAAACAAAAAACTGTGCCAGAGGGAGAGTCTTTAAGATGACAACTGAGTTTAAATGTTCCTGTGTGTCTTCGTTTCCAGAGCAGCCCTGCCTCTCACTAAAAATGCTTGCCTGTCTCCACATCGTTGTTTTCCTAGTAGCTGGTCTGGGTATTTTCCTCCTTTAGAGTGTTTTCCTGCCTGTAGATAAAATAGGAACCTGACAAATTATCCTCTGATTTATAGGTGTTTTATGTGAAATGAGAGCAGAGAGCGTTCCTTTGAAAGAATGAAAAAAAATCCCATCTCCTTTAAGTGTCTCAATCTGTGTAAAAGGTGGCTTTCACCTCCTTTAGTATCTTATAGTCTTCCTCTCTCCAAGTGATTTTGCACACAGATTTTAATTAGCTGTCACTAATGAAATCCGATCTTTTTCTTCTTTTTAAAGTATGTTGG